CCAATAGCTACAATGTCATAAAACAAATTCGCCATATCTTCACAGCTTTGTGATTGAGCAAAAATTTCAGGCCAAAGGATTGATTGTAAAAATCTCCCCATGGCATCTTTCTTACTCTGACGAAGGTCTCGTTTGTATACAAATGTAGGTTTTGCTTTCTTCACAATGTGAGTGGGTGAAACTACAGCTGTGTTGTGATCAGATAATCCAATTGGAGGGAGTATTTGCGGAGACTTGTAGAACTCGTGCATATTAGTTAATATAAGATCAAGTATTGCTTCGCCTCGAGTTGGTGATTTAACTATTTGTTTCAACCGAAAATGCTTAATTATATGATTCACATTAAGACGATTGAAATCCCCAGCAATAATAATACCGCAGTTGTAAAATTTTGCTTCGACTTCGCTCAGTGTCTGAAATAAGTGACTCTGCATGCTGAAATCGTCGGCACAGGGGGGGTGGTATAGGACGGCAACTATGATTGAGGAAAATTCACGAGGAAGTCGTCTAGGTTTTAAATGAAGCCATAAGATTTCGTGTTCGGAACAACATGAAATTTCTGAAAGGATTTTGAGTTTCGTATCACCGTCTCTGATATAAATACAGATTCCGCCATGGTTGTTTATAGATCTATCTTTGCGTATGATTGTAAACCCAGGTATACTTACAACGCTATCTGTAATTGAGTCATTGAGCCAAGTTTCAGTTAGAAAGGATAAGTTTATCTCATTTTCCATCATGAATTCGCGGACTTCGTCTATTTTAGGGACCAAAGATCTCACATTAGTCACCATTAATTTTGGAATAAAATTACTAATCCTCTGTTTTAATGTAGTGGTATTAAGTTGATGGAGTTCTGTAGTAAGGGGCTTACATGGCAGTGTACAGTTATTTGGAAATTCAACAGATTCGTTTAATAATGACTGGGTGGTCTTGTTGGGTTGTCCATCAGGGGAGGCATATAAGGGTAATTTACATGGGGATAAAAAAAAGGGTGTCTCATAGTATTTAGGTGACTTTGAAAATGATATGGAGTTTGTCCGTAAAACGGGGGTGGAAAAAATTGTTGTTGGTATGGTTGAAAGGACTATTGTGGTTTAGCGTGGGAGAAATAACATTTCAAACCCTTCAGGCAATGACCCTTTCTGCGTAAGAAGGGACATGGAACGTGAGATTTAGGGTTTTTTGTGTGTCGGGGGAACCTATCTTGGTATGGTGCGGGTATTTCGTTCCTACCCGCAATTTCTTCTGAAACATTATCGGTTCCAGCGTTATTTAGATTTGCCGCGCCAACGTTGTTTTGATCAGATATCTCGATTATACTAATGTCGGGGGCGTTGGGATTAGTCGTTTCATTAATTTCTTTTGTTTGAGCGTGAGTTAAAATATGCATATCAGTGGCAGGTTTGCCATTTCGATTTTTAACTAACTTTCCCCCATTTTCAACTGATTTTTCACCTTTACTCTGGCCCTATTTTCCCCCATTTTCAACTGATTTTTCACCTTTACTCTGGTGCTATTCCAACACCTCACGACAAGCAATCCCCATTGGCATAACGGCAAAAACATGTCTTCCTTCAAGTAAACAATAAACTGTCTGTTCTTGTTCCATTTGTAATCGAAAAAAGTGATCAATTTTCAAATTTTAAGCTTATCGAGAGCCTTTGTCTATGCCTTTGTGATGAATCACTGTTCCCTTGTGCCTGCACAATGGGCTAGGTTAATTAATTACCGATCGCCTCAGCTAGCCAATGGGAATTTAGCCGGCGGTTCGGCCGGCGAAAATCGAAAACATGGGGTGATGGTTGCAGGCCCACTATCAAGTTCCCTTGGGCCTGCACGCAGGCTACCGTAGAGGGAGAACAAAATGCCGTAGATCATTGCGGCAACGACGGCAATTTTTTGCCTATAGTGCAATTTTTATACTATTTACTGTGCATTTACTACTTTGATACCTGAATTCAGATGTTGATCAAATCATGCGTAAATCACTATTTTACTCTAAGTTTTCTTCGAAAAAAAAAACACCAAAGAAATACGTAGACATGTTTCTAGCTTGTCAAAAATCCAAAGTAACAATAAAATTAACATTTTATTACAGTAATTTGAAAAATGCCGTGGAAACTGCCAAAATTGCCGTAGACAGCTGTTACGTTCTACGGCAATTTTTAACGCCATTGCCGTCGATTGATTTCAGGGAAATTCGAGGCCTGGTATAATGCATAATAGTATTCGATCAAACATTATAAGTACAAGAATTATCTACAAAATAAAATAGATATTAATAACAAGAAACAACATGAATTTACTTTTTTGCCTTAATTTGGCCTATATCATTTTACAATACAAAATATAAGCAATGTTCACAACAGATAACTCACATGCCTAGTTACTACTGTTCTAGTTTACAGAAGGAATCTGCAGAGAATATAGAACAAAAGTAATAAGCATTAGAGTTTATATGTCTAAGAGATATTCACTCATTTAGATCATTCTAAAGCTTACTCATATTACCTTCCTTCTATTCTATGATTCTATATGAACGATGACAATTAGACATATGAGTTAATAATCTAAAGTGGTGAACTGGGTATAAACAAATGTTAGCCATTTATCTATTGCTGACTTAGAACATGATCACACCCACTCGGCCAATCAGAACACAGTATTTCAGTGGTCTATATCCCATAGTATATTAATTCGTCAAGTGGTGTGGGCTTTGAAGCACTCTTCTATATAGAGCATACTAATGAGTCTATTGTTTTCTTTTGTTTTGTAGCTTCATTAGTATGCTCTATATAGAGCGTACCAGTGACCACATAGAGCATACTAATGAGTTATATTTGAAGGCGTCAAAGACAAATTGTTTACTGCAAAAAATTTTATTTAATATAAAGCTCAAAAATACAGCTGTACCTTCACACAATCCTTACACAAATACAAACACACACAAATACACACACACACACACTCAACACTCCCATGCATGCAAACACACGCCAGTCCGAGATATAACAAATGAGTATCGTTCAGTAACCAGTATAGTGCCTGACGACGAGAACAGTTCTTCGTCTGCTAACGTTAAAGGATCTGTCTGTCACATTTTTCGTCGTGCTAATGGCAGCATTTGTCATTTCTTTCATCTTTGAATCCAAAGCTCTAAATGATGAAAAATTGGCGTCGTTCTTTGCCAGGATGTTCAAATGAAACCTCATATATAAGATCGTCTTTGAAATGTCTGAATAACCCGCAGTAACAATGTTACATAAACTGTTCGCTGGGTATGACAGTTATGGCTTTCCACCTCTCCTAGCTTCCAAAAACAAATCTTGTTAACCAATAGTCCAGAAAGCAAGAAATCTTGTGTCGCATTAATCGCTACAAGTTGCTTCGCTGCGACAGCCCCGTCCATGCTTTCGAAAAACGCCTATGCCAATACTGACGTATTAATGAACCCTACAAAACCGAACGCTGAAATCAAACGTTGAAAACCAAACAAAGACCAAACATTGTAGTTAAAATCCCTTCGGCAAAATAAACTAATGCCCGATCGAAAAAACCTACTTCATCATAATTAAAAAGGAACAATACTAATTATTTGTTAACAATACACCTAATTAAAACAGACATTCCTCGTGGGGGTGATCATGTTCTAAGTCGGATAGACAATGATCACGTGTGTTCAGTGGGATATAGACTCCCTCGAATTATTTAGACTGCCACTCGGGCCTTCGGCCCTCGTGGCCGTCTAACTAATTCTCTGGAGTCTATATCCCACTGAACACACGTGATCATTGTCTATCCTATACGTATCAACTTCAGTTAGTAAAATGGGGAGAACCAAGCTTGATTAACCATGCAACTGAGTAACAAGAGAAAGTATATCTCATAATATCCCTTTCAATGCTATATTGTACTACCTAAATATATAAGAAAGGAGTACAGGTTTATGTTCACAGAATACCAGTTTTTTATTTCTCTTATAACATTAGGAGGAGACATGCTGTATAGTTTATTTTTGTGAATATATATTAGTTTTAGTCTTAATGGACATATAAAATAAAAAAATGTCAAAAAATAATCAACCAACTGATTGGTACTACCGTTTATATCTTTGAAAAATGAGAGTTTCTATTCACCATTTCAAAATTGAGTGGTATTCTGTGGTACTTGTATTTATATTGTTTTTTCAACGTCCTGTAGAAAGGGGGAAATATGCTTTAATATTTTACTGATAAACAAGGAACACGTAAAAAAACATAACAATGATCAACAAGCATTTCTCTTGTGAGTTGTGATTCCAAACTCGTAAACTAAACTCATACCCAGACCCCAGGATTATTTCCGAATTTTGGCCAATATTTTTTACAATTTTTGTTCCAACAGGTCACGACTTCTTATAAGAGGCTGATCGACTTTTGTCATCAATTTTGTTTTTGTTTAGTACATAGTTGAAAAGAAGACGAAAAGTGAACAAGCGTCAAATAATGTACGACGTGCTGAATCTTATGACGGGCGAGGATTTAATGAACATGGCCAGAGGTAACTTGTGTTTTAAGGCAGTTTTCTCTTATATCATGTGACGTGTGTGCTCGCGTATTCACATTACATCGTGAACGCGCCAATGGACCATTCCCCAATTAACCAAAATTTTGAACTCAACAAGTCTAGACAAAAATTTCATCACAGCTTGAAAGAGCATCACAAAATTAGTATGTAATATTCCAAAGTTTCGTTGCAAAATGTTGTAAAATGCGAATAATATAGCCTTGCGAAGTTTGCAATTTTCAATCATTTTAGATTACAAACAGGAAATGGTTACCACTTCTGTGCGTAATACAAAATGACTGAAAATTACAAACTTCGCATGGCTATATTATCCGCATTTTACAACATTTTGCAACGAAACTTTGGAATATTACTAATTTTG